ACCATTTTCAAAAAGCGTCCCACGCCCTGAAAGACCTTCCTTGTAAGGTCCCTTGTCAGCCTTCATCAGCGGTTACTACTTTCTGTAACTCGTTATCCTGAACTAGTTGCGTTCCAAGTCAAACACGGAAACGGCTAGACTCCACTTGCAATAGAAAAAAAGACCACTGTAGTCTAGAAATTCAGTAAGCTTGCAACTTAACCACATCATGAACCCTTACCAACCGATCGCATTCCCTAAATCATAAATCATCTACAGTCCTAATATGTACATATGTATCATGCCTCTCCCCACCACAGTGTACTCACTGGCTTTGAAGTATGGATTCTCATCTTCTACTAATGTGTCTAGGTTCCACTGTCAACAGTCAACATAAAGAACCAGTATAATCGACTTAGTGTCCATGCGTTGTGAAGTCTCCTATCGGCTATTGGAAAGGAATTTCGGTGCTAGCTTATTACCAGTCATTTTTTTTGATCCGCATGCCTTTGCACCAAGTTATGAATGTACTTAGCAAATTCCGTTCCTATGAAAAAGCCGTCGGCCTACCGCGGCTAAGAATTTTTTCAATCATTAATAAGCTGCTCACCTTCACATATCTTTAGCCGCACTTGGGCTGTGCTGAAACGAGCTAATAAGTTTTGCCCTCTATACTACCCGTCCCGGTAGTTGGCCCCTGATCAGGCAATAATGAATCTCATGAACACGAGCATTATTCACCACAAAAAAGACTTTCAAAGATTTTTACATCGTCAGCTGGAATGTGTTTATTCATTGAGGTACCAGTACATAATTACATGCATACTAGAACAGGCAGATGATGCAGATCTAGAAATGCCATTTGATAAACGTATTGTATATCTACAATTTAGATATGGGCCGTAAAGCTTTGTTGCATACAGTACTCATGTCGTTGAATGCACGCTCCAGTTCCTTTGCAAATCTGAAAACAAAACTGTAATTACAAATCTCGCGTCAGCGTGAACTGGTAATCAGAAGTAGGACAAGAAAGGCAAATTGAAGTGGAGTTCGTAAAAAATTTTACTATCAATTCAGAAATGGTTCTTCTTGTAGGCAAAGCTTCGGGGTCAATCAATAATGGTCTCTCAAAATACAGTATTCTGGAATCCAAAGTTTACTTATGCTAGATTCTCAATGTTTGGAATCGCTAATGCTTGAGACCGGCACTAAAGGGTGACAAGGCTGGAGCACTTCCCACTCCCTCCTCGTTTAAAATCCACGCGAAGCCACTTTTTTCAATTATAAAAGCACTGGAGACCGTTTATAGTAATTAACTGCCGAGGTTGGCTGTTCCCAAAGAAGATGCTTGAAAAAACCAAGCATTAGCCAGAAACACATCGTATCATTATAAAGAAGTGAATGGTGACTTACAATTTGGAGCTTGTTGAAGGACAGCTTTTGAAGGTTGTGATCGTAAAAAGAAGTTCAGTTTCCTGAGGGTTGTAGCAGATACCATAGCAGTCAGGTGCCGATGGCCCAAAGCACAGATGGATGTAGTTCCGTGTAGGGACCTAGAATATTTTGTAGAGAACCTAGGTTCACTAATCATGTAAGGTCATCCACCAGCAAAAATGTAGGAATGAATCGAAATTTTCAATCTTCCAACATGATCCCATTCAACCTTAACAAATCGCACGAGAAAAGAAACGAAATTAGGCGCCCAATGTATGAAAAAGTCTGTGAATGTAGGCTGAACAATCCGCGGACAGATAGACTCCACTCCACTCCACTTCTACACAAAGGAGCACCGTGGTCTTCTCCTTTTCGTCTTGAATTTGGTCTCCCTGATCCCCTTTCATAATTGGACGCTTGCTCTGGTCCAAGAAAACAGCGACTTATTTCGGGCTAAACGTGTAGACACTCCGATACACTCCGTATGCGCCTCCCCGCTATGAGCTCAAGTCCTGTGGATAGGAGTAATCCGGTTCACTCCTCACTTTTTCTAACTTAAATTCATATTTTTAGCCATTTTTGCTCAGATTGTGCTCGTATCCCTTACGTTCCACCCACTTCCTCCACCCCGGGTAGAATCCAGCCCAGCCATTTCTTACCAACGGTCATCAGTGCTCCCATACTGCAGCCTGTACTTCTGCTGAGTTTGAACGCTTTAGGTTCAGATTATTAGCATTCGGTAACGCCCGCCAGTCGTATTCCCGGGACGCGGTTCCTCTCAAATTCCATGTTCCCTGCCTTATCAAGCATCCCTTTGTGGAGGGAAGTTCGTAACTCAACTGATCTGAAAACGGCCGCTATTGATTTCTTTGAATCGCCGATTCCTGACCTATGGACAAAATGCTCAAAGGATAAGGGAAGGCGGTCGGCCCTTCTGGTAAATATATTTCTGGTTTTTGCTCATTTTGGAAAGTTCTAGAAATAAACCCAAAATAACTTTCTTCTTACCGCAGAACCTTCTTGCTGACCTATTGATCAAATTCGGTCATCGAAGATAGGAAATGGTAAAAGGCGATATGAATGCACAATTGTGGTTGAACTTCTCCAGATCCGCAAATCTTTCTCAGATTCATGGAACCAGCCCATAATACTCAGCAGAAAACGCAGAAAACATGTTCGGAGACAGATTTGATAAAGAGGATAGATTCTTCAAAAGGGAAGCTTGAATCAAGCAAATTGGAAGAGAAAATGCTGGTGATTTCTCAAGCATTCCAACCATATCTTAAAAATGAGGTAGGCTCGACGTTAGCTAGTAATCCAACTGACTAATAAATAAATCAAGTTCAAGGCTCTTCGGTAACATTCATATTCTTCCCACTAAGAGTTGCAATGATACTGCCTACAAGTGAAATGTTCCTGCGCGATTGAGATATTTTACTTATAATTGCCGTTTCACTACTCGCTTACAAGCAGACCAAACTTGAAGGAATAGTGAATACCATGGCTTGAATTCCCTTGATCATCGTCCTTGATCATTCTCACTACCATTTCCTCTCAACACGAACATGTGAACACAGTGGCAGACAGAAACACTGCCCATCAAGAGGGATTTTTTCTTATTTCTTACAAAGCATTCGGCTTCTCCCACCGTTCAGTAAGGAAATTCCCAATTAGAATTTAATGCCACCGCCAAGGGCGGTGGTGGTGTAGTAGAAAAAGGCGCAATATCACAAACAGATGATCATGGGTCTGAACCCGACATCCGCTTGACACAACCAAGCCTTCCATTACTAGGGGGACGATAATTGGTACCAGACCGTCTAGGAGGATAAAAGCATTGACTTGTACATCGACTGGCCGCCACGGGTCATTGTATACGCCAGATACGCATTCAATACGCCATTGCAATCGTGGATGGAAGTCGGGTGCGACGAGCATCCCTCGCTAGGATTGATTGTCATCGAAAGACTTCATCCTTAATCCATCAATGTTACTGCTAGGCAATTCACTCGCGTTAACAGGTTCATCCACTTGCTTCCCATTGATACACCGGCTCCTCTCCTATTATCCCTCAAGCTGAATGACTAGCAGCTTCTACACAAAAGTTTTAAACTCTTTCAGTCCAATCCCGTTGCTCTAGGAAGAAAGGCGCATCCGTTAAGAGAGGTTACCCCTATGCAGTTAGGGACAATCTTCATCCTCAATTTTTTTCTTTCGAAAAATTGCAAACCCAATAACTAGTAGTTGGAAGGCCTATTGGATTCCGAACGTAACTGATAGCAACTGGATTAATTCAACCGCACTATGGGCTCAGGCGGAGAACGTCCGTTGCGCGCGTCTGTCGAAAGTAGGTCACCCCGCCCACTTTGCGCGCGGCGCACTCCATTGAGGTTTCGAGGTGACATTACAGTACCACCAAGTGTCATTGGAGCAAATGATTTGCATTTGCCTGTGTTATCTTCTTCTTGAACTGACTGCCGTGGACCAAACGCAAAGCGTATGCTCCAGTGACCATTGCGACGTCTGTCAAATATCGCGGGCCGACTCGCCGCGTGCGACGGCTGCGGCGTGACCTAGTTTCGACGAACACGCGCAACGAAGCGCACCCGGGCTCAGGCAGATTGAGACTGCTATATTTAGAAGAACAGGCAAGTCTAACCTGACTGGTGGAGACCTGAAAGTGGCACATATTTTCGTAGGCAGGTGTATTGAGAATGCTCGGCTTCGAAAGGCCATTTTCAGCCGCCAAAAGTTTCCATGCTAGGAGATGTCGATCCATTCCAGCTCCATTCATGCAATTCATCTGAAAGAAATTCTTTTCGGAAGGAATGCCTGCTATCGCCAAGAAAAGTTCATACCCATTGATTGGCCAAAAATTAATTTTGATTCGGAATGACTGGACTAGAGTTCATCCTTCACCTCACCTCGAACCCCTCAGAACGCTTGGTCACGCATACGGTACAATAATCACACCATATGAGTACTAGGAACGGACCTATGGACATCGTTCAATATACACACATGTTCACAGACAATAAAATCACACGCCCAGCCTCAAAATGTAAACACGAGAACTAAATTCTGTTAAGTACCTCCATGAATTTTCAGTCAGCGGACGATCTTTTCCTGAGAACAGGCAATCAGTGAAGATGAAGACGATAACCACTCACCGTATACTTCTTATGTGATTCCGCAGCCGCTTTCAAAGCTTTGTAAATGACTTCCGCAGGTTCAGCTCCCGACACCATCTGAAAAGAGAAGGGAAGTACGGTGCAATTCAACTGCACAAATGAAATAAATTCCAGTCTAACAGACTCAGAAACTAAATGTAGCAGCGACAGCGTCAAGGTATTTTAACTCAAGAAAATCTTGGCTCCATACGCCTGATAGTTTTTAGGAAACGACTAAACTCAGTAAAACACTGAGTCCATCCCCTAAATCCACATAAGCCTTTGAGCTAGCACTGATGGCTTTTGGTCGGCGATTCACCCTCTACCCGCTCCCGGTATCGTGCCACGCCGCGCCGCAACGATGATCTTCAGTGAAAGTTCTGGGATGTCAAAAAGATTAGAGCTGTGCAGAGCAGTTCGAGGGCAATGTTATTCTTATCTTGATTTTCGTTATTAGGCTCATTGCGGTACCACCTGCTCACCCTTAATTGACGACCTGTCCGACAAGCGCAAGCAAAGCCCCTATTTACTTGTCACCAACCAAAATCGCATTGGTTTCAAGGCAACACTTAACGCCTCCTGCCTTCTGCTCAGCTTCGAAGTTTGGCACAAAGCAAACAAGGAGGGGGCATGATCTTGGATAACGCCCTCCACTATTGAGCCCCTGTTTTGAGTTGTTTGCTATGGCTGTGATGAACTTTACCTTCTTGACAAAATTCTCAGCTAATGGGTTCGGTGACCGTATGTTCTCAGTCCGTCCCTCTTGAAACCTTCGCAATGTCGCTGTTTCGTAGGTAGGCGGTACTGAAGGTAACATAAAATTCAAAAATAAACTCATTCACTCATTAGTACCTGTGACAGTTGGTTGAATGGTAATTATTATATTAGGTTACTCAATCGGAAACAGGACAAACAGAGTGGTTTCTGACCAAGGAAATGGAGATTGAAAAAGGTCAGAATGAACGACAGAAGGTGCAATGACCAAGTCAATCGAACACTTCCCCTATTGTTGTGCTATTTGATTCCCTTTTGAACTGAGAAACGAAAATACAAAACATTTCCGAATACACATTGAAGAGATAAAGAAGAATGAGGTCAAATGCCTTTGAGAACTGAACTTCAACTCACAAGCAGAATGTATTCTGTAGAACGCCAACTGGAATGCCATTTGAATGAATGAGTCTGGAGAGATATTCACCGATTTTGGGTAATTCTTACCAAACCGCTTGAACGAGTATACCGCTACATCTACATCATCAACTGCCCTGGAAATTTGATCATTAGAGAGAAGTACCAGAGATCTTACATGACAGGAATCTCCCATGACAAAACCTCACTTGTCAAAATCCCTGCCACTTTTTTCGATTTGAGCTTTTTGAACGTCATTAAGCTCGAAATCCAACCGTTTCACATTACCTTGTGCTTTGCTTGAGTCATCGTAGAAGTTCTTACCAAGGCTGTAAAAATTGGTACAGGCTCGCCGTACAGTTCCAGTTCCGTTAGGAGATCAAGGCATAAAATATCCACTGACATTTTATCACAGATGAAATCCATCATAGCAGCTACTGGTGGACCTTCTGCAGGAGTATGTTCATAGGTCATTCCGCAGGCGCCATTAGCACCAACTACGAACTGAAACTCTAGTGATTCAGGAAATCAGTGACAAAACGTCTGAGAGGAGACTATGTGGTCCACCCATGCAGAGAAATGTTTGGTTGCTCGTAAAGAAAAAACAACCGATCGCTACGATTCACTATCGTCTTTCACCTTCATGGTTTTCTTGTAGGTAAGTCGCTGGGCAATTTATCACCATGGTACTTACCAGTTCGTTCTGCGTACCGTACCACGCGAAGCGCCAAAACAACTCCAAAAAACTTTGAGAGACCAAATTTGGGCTTAGAAGTTTAGGACTTAGCAACATCTGAGTGGAATTGGTAAGTAAAAGCTTTGGCGCGTTCTATGGAATTTTCTTAAAACATGACGTTTCGAAAGATTAGATTAAAGTTTGGCCTCATNAACTACGAACTGAAACTCTAGTGATTCAGGAAATCAGTGACAAAACGTCTGAGAGGAGACATGTGGTCCACCCATGCAGAGAAATGTTTGGTTGCTCGTAAAGAAAAAACAACCGATCGCTACGATTCACTATCGTCTTTCACCTTCAGGGTTTCTTGTAGGTAAGTCGCTGGGGCAATTTATCACCATGGTACTTACCAGTTCGTTCTGCGTACCGTACCACGCGAAGCGCCAAAACAACTCCAAAAAACTTTGAGAGACCAAATTTGGGCTTAGAAGTTTGGGACTTAGCAACATCTGAGTGGAATTGGTAAGAAAAAGCTTTGGCGCGTTCTATGGAATTTTCTTAAAACATGACGTTTCGAAAGATTAGATTAAAGTTTGGACTCATACTTTCTTGACAACATCCCTAACGAGATATCCCCATGAAAACAAAAGATGCTTCGCTCTCATCATACCTGTAGCGTTTTGTCAAACCATCTGTTGCAAGAATTGCTTGTCGTTCCACCTCCGTGTAAACACTGAAATGACTAAATTGTTATAAAAGACCAACTACCTATAAAGGTTTTTTTGGGTTGCTAGGTTTTGTTTTGGTTTCCTCCATTAAGGGCACAGTTCACGATAATTTTGAGGTACCAATTATAAGTTGAAAAGAGGAAGTGTTGATGCAGAGTAGTCATGGTGGCAAGGAAAGCGGGAGAATCAGCCTACTCCGCGAATAGTAGTGCTTTTCAAAAGTAGTCGAAATAGAGGCTGTACGAGATCACCATGACCGGAATGGCATGGAAGGGGTGTTCGGCCAAGATTTCAATTGTTGCAGTTGCCGAAAGAGCTGACTACATGAAGTCAAAATTGTCTAAATTATTGCCTTCCCCTGCCGCCATGGGTCATGACAAGTTGTTTTAAACTCCAACATGGGAGCCCTTCGAGATAGTGCAGCCTCTACAACGCAGTGAAACTCGTCCACTGCGGGTGTGGCATTCACACGACGCAGTCAGTGTCTGGCCCATTGTTGTGCCCAATCCAGGACGTTTCTCGACCTGACATCAGCACATGTGATACCAGAGGGGCTTCGAATTCATCCTGTGGGGAAAGCTCAAGAGCCATTTTTTCGTGAACTGTGCTTTTAAATATTATGATATATGTGGGGGAGAACAGGAACTTGGTGGCTACACTCTGATACTTCACCAGTTGGATTTCAAAGCCTTCGTATTCCGTGATACAACAGTCTGTACTTGGGGATACACTCAAAGGCAATAGAACTCATATTTAGATCAACAGTGCAACCCGTTCACTTGCCCAATGCCTTTTTCAATGCTCCGTTAATGGCTTTCTCCTGTCTACTATATGAGATTGTGAGATTACTGCAATACACTGTAACGACCTGCGAATTTTTCCTTGTCATTTCTGCTAGCCACATGATAGCCATGCTATTCAAGGCCTCACCTGTCTTGCTTGCTCATCTTTCTCAGTATAGTCTTCGGGAGATGTACTCTCTTGATCGATGCAAACGACAAACAAAGCATCTTCAATAAGAGAGAGATGTGAAGAATTTGTAGCATTTTCTGGAAATGAATGCATTTTAAAGAGACACGTGTACATAGCGCAAGTTAATTGGGGCGACAGGTATACCTCTTGTCGCCTAACTTATCAAAATATCCTAATTGACTGAACAAGATAGAAGATAAATAAAACGTAATGAGTATCGAAGGGTACAAGATAAGTTTTGGTGGTGGAAAATTCTGTTTGTGGAATGCGCCCAGCATTCGACTTAAATTCAGAATCGTGGTGATGTTTTGAATGGTTGTGTGGCATATATAATACAAAGGCTTGCGGGATGGCGAGCCCATGTACAAGTCGAGAGAGATGTACAGCCTATGTACATGTACAGGAATTTTATCCTCCCAGACGAGGCTGATACAATTAACCGACTATGGAAGACTGGAGGCTTTAGTTGAGCGAATATCGATAGGAGTTCCGAACCGCGGATCATGGGTTTGCTGTTTGCGCCCATTGCCCCTACCCCAATTCCACCTTATTGCAGTAGGTATGTTAAAGAATAATCATCCTCACAAAGTGTGTTTTGCGTTTGAAAACGAAATTCTTGAGGAGAACTCCTTCATACCTTTGAGCTGCTCGTAGACTTCAGCCCACCGATCACGATTATCTGATGAGACAATACCGACGGCATGTTGTTTCCGCTCGTGACTTTGCTTGATAACGTCACTGAAAAATCCGGAGAGCGCTGATAACGGTAACGGCTGACCAGTCGCATTCAGTACAGGCATTGAGAAAAGCTAAAATATTACTCGCACGACAAGCACTCAGAAGTAAAGAAAAAATAGCAATAAGTCACTAAGTTAAATTTCTACTGAATCTACTTATAAAGCCGAAAGAAGAGTTGAATTCTCAGAAAACCTGAGTTCTCAATGGTTATCGTTCATGTTTCCTCAGTCTAGACTTATGAGCCCTTAGGATTCCGTCATAAGCAGCGGATTGAATAAAAGAACTGAGACGGAATCGCGCTTTCTGCCCCCAGTGTTAAGAAACCATATGTGAGAGCACAAAATCACTGATCGGAACACTGTGCAGCCACCGCAAAGCGTAGAATAAGCCAAGATCCAAAAACTGTGTCGTGTCATATCAACGGTGATTAAAGAGAGAGCACTCGGATCATAATTAGTATCAAACTGGAACTGGGTGCTGGCTAATTGAGTTGCTCCACCAGTTGCTCTACCTTTGCTCCACCAGTTGCTCTACCTCTCATACCTAGCTATAGTGACATTGATTTTGCCTTGTTACTTAGCTTGGATGCATTTTCATATAAAACAGGATGCAGCGCTAGACCTCTATTCCCTTCAATTTGGGGCAATTCTGCAATTATAATAATACATATACCCCCATTATATGTGATGATAAGTTTGAGCACATCTATAACAAAGGATTGTATATTTCTATAATCTACAGAATCATGATATTGAGCCGAGTAATTGAAGATCGTGTATGAAAACCAAGCAGAGGCTAACCTAAGCATTATTATCTGCGGAGCTCGACATCTCTGATCTTCTGAAACTTCGATTCATTGAGATCTCTGAGCGTCGTCTTTTTTCATGACGCTTTCACACCGACCTCAGTACTGTTCTTACAGCAGGATCGAAACATCCGAAACTTCTGTTGAGGAAGGAAGAACTGCAGAATCGAAAGGATGGATACACTTTTGACGTGAATCACTCTCGTATGAGGTATGTGCTCCCGCATTCGAACTCCATCCAGGATCGTAATGGCGACAATGACATGCGGTGGCCAGCCGATGTACAAATCAGTGTTTATACTCCCAGACGAGTCTGGAACCAATTAACCGACCATGGAGAGATGAAGGCTTGGTTGGCCTAGGAGGATATTGATCCGGAATTCGAACCCGTGACCATGCGAGTGTGAAGTGCGCCTCTTGTCACTGCATCACCTCCGGCCAGAGTGAGATATTTCTAGTTATTTTATCGCTAAAAGCTCACAAATTCTCTTCATGATGCCCTGCGTCATCCTTGACTTCGTGCCTCATGAGGGACATTCTACATTCATAGAACATTAGTAACCGCCTATTGCCGATAGCTCACCGCTCACAAGTCACCGCACATAACGAACTATGAATGCAGCTAGAGCAACCTTTACCATCCTGCCTTCTGTTGGTATCATTGCTTGTCTTGTCCACATCCTATCCTTTACAATCAATTTTAGACTTCAGACTCTAGATTATGTATGTTCTGACGACAACTGTTGGAAGACTCCTTGGAGTATCTAAGGAGTCTTCCACCAGTTGTCGTCAGAACATACATAACTGTTGGAAAATTTAACCAAAATGGATCCATCCGTTAAATTGTTTCACCCGCTATAGAGTGTTGAAATATAAAAAGAGTAATAGCGAGAAAACTCACATGACCATTGTGTATAACAATAATATGCTTCGAATGGTTTTCATTGCTGCATCCATAACGAATCTGAAAGCAATATATAAAACCTTGAACGTGGAAATTCTAGCCCATTCCGAATTCGTAGGTGAATGACGGGGAGGGATGAAACCGCTTAAACTGCTATTTCGAATAAACCAGAGAAGATTGGAAAGATTAAGTTCCCACAGTCCAACAGATGCAGAGATAACCAAGAAGTAACAGCTCCTGGGTACCGTGAGACACGCTCGCTCGAATTCGATTGGAATTTCCGGTTCAGAAATCCTCTCAGAGCTGATTCGTTCAACGATAGTTCACATTTTTTGAAATAATAATGAAGTCACGATCCACTCAAAATACAACGTACCTACCTCATCACATCCTTTTTTAGGTATTCGAGTTGTACCATACATAAACTTGTATTGGCTCATGTCGAATGGTGTTTTGCCAGCCATGTCCTGAGGAAGTTCATTTCTGGAAGAAGTAGTATGCAATCAATTAAGACCACTTCAGTTTCGCATTTTAGCAAAGGTCTTCTGGTCATCAGTCGGAACTTGGCCAGCGCAAAAATTTAACATGTTCGAATACCGAAATTATAATCAATTATGATAGAAAGTTCTTTAGCCTTTCCCAATCCTGGTCATTGCAATAAGTAGTAGGCTGACTTGTTTTCTCTTTTCTTTCAACCATTATAGAGTGCCTGCCAAAAGGTATGTGAATACCACAAGACTAGCTACATTCAAGTTTCAAAATTATGGGTCGCACTTTCGCCAACTGAACTCTCGAATACGGTAATCTACGAATGTCAGCTCCTCAATGATTGATAGGCTGCTTAGATTTGTATAGATGGGGAAGTCTCTTTCTATCGAAAATATGTGGACACAGTACAAAAAAAGGAACATCGATGGGATCAGAATTGACAGGTCATCAGAAGTGTTTATTAGTTCGAACAATCTATGTGGATGCCGTGTACAACCTTGACAACATTTGCCTAAAGATTCCGTCTTAAGGATGAAAGAAAGGAGGCGTCCTGAGATCACAATGAAAACGGTTCCCTAGATTTCTCCCAAGGACGATCTGTGACTATCAAGGATAACACAAGGACACTGTCGGGTAGAAAACCGCCTAGATAGGGCTCCAAACCCGGCTCGACGTACGTAGCCAGAGATGGACGGGTTCTCACGGCGTTGTAGAAGCTGTACAGGTTGCACCTTCCGCACCGAGACGCCCAAGTTGTACGCGGGCAGCTTACACTACACTCACTACAGCCGTGCCATCTCGTGGTGAGGAGCTTCCTCCAGGGCCTCTTTTTCTGTGCTCAGTCGAACTCCTGGAGCGCCAAATGGTCACTTGAGAACGGCAGATACGTTTGAACGCGAATATAATTTGTTAGTAAAGAGGAACTCATGACCGTCGGGAATGTTCTCCTGATTGCGATCATGATCGAGGATAACCTTCGATCTAACTGCAAAATAAGGAATAGGATTCTGGCGATTGCTCCTGAGCACGTGTGAGCGACTGAGTTCACCAGCGTCTACCAAATAGAGCCTCACGATGAAAGAAGTTTTTATGTGAGCCTATTTTTCTCACGAATATGTTTGCTACGAAGGAGCATGATGACAGAATAATTAGTGTCACAAAAGCAGTGAACCTAAAAGTTGTCAAGAGACGTCTCTCTTCGAAGGATCTCGAGCTATTTAGCCAGCGGGAGCAAAGTCGAGCAAAGTTTTAACTTGTGAATCTATGAAGAGGCGATAAAAGACCGCCGAGGCTGAAAAGATCATTCGCAGTGTACGCCGGAGCTTCGTGAATTATAAGACTATGATGACCTCCTTCGTCGCCCTGACGGAGCAGTTACTGGATCTCGAAGGGCAATGGACGAGATCATCTACGACTTCTACTCTGATCTCTTCGACAGCCACGCCTACCTGTCTACCTAGCATTTCAGGCAAGACGGATATTTGATTCCTTCAGTTCTCCCTTCCTATACTCGACGTGCGATCATGTCAATGAATGATTGTTCGGCGCCCGGTCCCGATAGGATCGAACCAAGTATCTAAGGAGTCTTCCACAACTTGTCGTCAGAGGTCTGGCTAGGCTCTTCACTCGGGAGCTGTCGCAATGCGATGTGCCCACGTCGTGGAAAACTAGCAAAACTGTGTTGTGTCAAAAAGGGAGATCTCGACGATAGTGGCATCTATCGTCCAATCTGCCTCCTGTCTAGAATCTACAAACTTTTCATGCAAGCAACCCTCAGGATTGGCAGGAGCTACGGCAGAAGTTCTAGAATTCAGTAACGAAGTGATGAGCCATAGCGTGGAACTCTCCTCACAACTAGCAGAGCAATTACTGTCCTATTCGAAGACCTCTGGATGTATGGGCACATGCTAGACTCCTACAAAACAGACCAGATCCTACCAACTTCAACTGACCATCCATTCCTCCCTATTCTTGTATTAAAAGTTTGCTCTAAACTCGAATATTAGGTCGTGAGAATCGAACACTAAGCAAGGAAGGTTTTTATCACAGTAAATATGCATATGAATTCAACTAATTCACTCCTGTGCAAAAGGGAATGACTTCACCACCTTGCAAAAGCTGGCAGAAAGAAGAAACCGCTTCTAAGTAACCATGATAAATAAGCCATACCTTAGTATTTTTAGGTAGAATTCTACAGCGGCTTGTGTAATTTTTGCAGCATGATCTATTCGAGTGTCCTTGTCGTTACTTGGAAACAGGGGGAATAGTAATCCTAAACGGAGTGAAAGGATAGAAAGAGCTATTTCCTGTTGTACAACGGAAACCTACCTGGAGATGTTATGATCGGGAGCGGTGTGCGCGATTCTAAGTATGCTACATTCAACCACCATGGTGTCAGCTGGAAATAACAATTTGGATTCTCTGACTTACTACGAAGACCACTATGTAATCACCAAATTTGTTACACCAACCAGCTCAGAAAAACTGCTGGAGAAACACCGGGATGTACACAAGGGAAATGGTGTACGATGTAGCATATGAACTCAAAATAATATCGGAGTGGAAGCCTAGAACAGGAAGCACATGGGAGTTTAGGGCAAAGGACCTAGCTTAGATTTAGGGAGTTTAAGGTAAAAGACCTAGCTTAGATTTAAACTTTTGATAGGTCACGTAATCGACTCTGAACAGAATCATGCACTTGAATGTCTATTTGCATATCTGGCACAAATTTCGGGAATCGTCCGTTGTTCGAAGGCCAAATTCACGACACAAAATAAATCCGAGATCCCCAACTCGGACGCAGCTGACCTCAAGTATGCCATATGGGAAACTGTCAGGACGAAGAACGGCTTAAATAGGGCGCAATAAGGGTACAAAGACCGTGGAAGATGATTGTGGCTTAATATAGGCACAATTGAAGCGTCTGAAATTCCCACGTATTCCTCTCTAAAGCATCGCCCAAGATGCTACAAATTTTCATTAAGGCTAATGTTTCGGCCAGTCGCCTTCGTTGGAGCCTGGAAGCCGAAAAACATTTGGGCTTCGCGCTGATCAAACGACGCTAAGATCTCAGCTTGGTTCAGTGTAGCCCATAGTTATCTAGAAAGGTCTTGCAAATCACAACAGGAAATCCTTAAAAATCATGGATATGTGACTAAAGTTCCACCAAAATACCTCCTAAATGTCATTTCTTTCATGCCAATCTCATACAACCCCTTGTTTTTACTACTTCTCAAAGCTTTATATTTCCAGAGATTCGCACATTGTCGTACACTGCCTACGCCACCACTGCACTTTCATTGTTTCACTTGAATTAGGTACTCAGAATTATTATGCATTCAGTCCTGAGGTGGGATTGGTTCACAATCTCTCTACCATTACGTGGACGTGGCGTCACTTGCCGCTACCCACATACATCTGTTCGAGATGATGAAGGAAGTGTGTTGAAAAGCTGTGAACACTACAGAATCCTACACATTCCTCCTTATGACCATATGTTAGCCTCTTTTCGAAGGCCCTCCCTAACAAGCGAACATATCATATTAAGAGTTCAAGAAAACAACTCTTACCGTACGTTGAGCTCAACATGTGGACGAACGTCACGAAATACCATTGGCTGTCTGAGTATATAGGCTTACGTGCGCGCGGTAAATTGCGCGGCGAAGTTCGCAACGATTTCAACGACTCTACTTCGAAGTTGTGCCCCGAAAATTGGCGTCAGAGTCGTGCAAATCGTCACGAACTTCGCCGCGCAAGATGCAGCGCGCATCCTCGGACGCACGTAAGTTCCGTCCCCCTCGGCTGTCCAGAAAGTCTTGTGACACTTTGGGGTCGACAGTTGCTACAGTCGCTAATTTTTCGAAGGCACACTGCCTCCTTGCATTTTCCCTATTAGAGAGTGTGGACTTCTGTAGAGAGTTTCGGTAGATCATTAGCAACAGTGTAAAAAAGGTCTTACTCAAGTGGTAGAGAAGATGTGGACCTCCTGACCCAAGCATTCTTTGACTTATCGTCTTTTACGAATTCCTACAAAGACACTCTCCCCGAATCATTGACTGGTGTTGCATGTCGACCATTAAAAAAGCATGTTTGAGCTTGCTATGATAATATTGCAAAAACTTTTGACAGCTTAATATAATAGTTAATGAAGCGAATGAGCAGGATGAGTCAAATACCCAGAGAAAGTATTCATCACTATTTCCAAATCAATTTGAATAATTCATTGTTCATATCACATACCCAGTTGTTTAGCGTTGTAGCACGTTGTTCTAGAAGCTTTTGTAGAATTGGCAATTCCTTTTCTTTGAATCTCTCAACAACCTGAAATTCAATCTAAATGAAAAGCACCGAGAACGGACAACCTCATTGTAGTAAATCAGTCAGTGCCACCACGAGCATGGGATGGTGGGCCGTCAGAGGGGGCACTGTAACTGCTGCCGCTGCAGTGCAGCGGTCTCACAATCGGCGGTCACTTTTTACCTCTGATATCCCATTTTTCAAGATTTTGACTTGGCTTTTTCAGAATTTTGACGCAAATAATGCAGCCATCGAATAGAAAAATGATTATTGCTAGAGGCTCAGAGATGGGAAACGTTCCAGCTGAGAAAACGAACGCGAAATCGGTGTCCAGCTAATCAAATTACCACTGTAAGCCGATTTTTGGCGAATTCAGTGAAATTAGGTGATCTAACGCCGCACAGTCATCAGAGATTATTGAGCTAGACGGGTGCTATACTCATATTCAGTGGTTCGGACTTGTACGTTGTGTTATTTTCTGGAAGTAACCAGAAGCCCACGTACATGCTAGATATGGCATGCTTCAAACGTTTCTGTGTGTGGGACCTAATTTTCAAAAAAAATTTCTTCTACATACCAATTTCGTATCCTCAAACTCCTTGTTTGTTTGTAACGGTTTAGCAAATTCCAGAAAATGCTCAAGTGTTGTCCGTGGATCGGGCACAGGTAACTTTGGCAGAAGAGCATATTGCTTTGTCGTCGAGAAATCTAGGAAGCTTATTTTGCGGTACCGTTATGTAAAACCAAAGCTAATGGTCAACATTTTTACAGAACAATAACTAAATTGCTAAAATGAGCAAACAATAAGTTTTTTCGCATTCAGTTGTCGGCATTAGCGACTTCTCCGATTAATCTCCGTCAAGAAGCTCTACCGATGCTGTCACTTAGCATACGACTGCACTTCTTCTGTCGAAGAAGCTCTTTGGACAAAACTTATTTTTATAACCAGCCTAATGTAATCCTCATAAGAGAGAGGAGAAGCTGTTCGCCAACGTCTACGTAACATGGAGATTGTGGTAGCTCATTTAGTTCGTTGGAGCTTTCCGCGGACGAATTAGGTGCAGTGGCAAGTGGCCTAGGTTATCACGCCAATATTCCGGACGAGCATAGAATCGCGGATCGTTACCCATCCCGGCAAACTAAGCGGATTGGCTTATTAATACCATACTCATCTGGGAAGTCAAAAGCACTGTACGTCGATTGGCCGCCTCAAGTCATTTTTCAAGCCATATTCGCATTCGAGATGCAAGTAGTACCATTTTGAATGGAACTCGAGTGCGGGACCCATCTGAAAAGGGGATTGATCAACGGGAAAAGACTATATCTTCGATCTCCTGAACAGAAGCCCGTAGCAATTGATAACTTGGCTTATCAGCACTTTGTCACGAATTGATATTCAGGATTATCGACTTAAAATTTATCGATCACTCGATTACCCAAGCTGGCTTAATGGGGTCTAACAACCCAAAGGACTCTATCCATTGTATAAAAGGTTTGAAGTTAAGCTACAGAATGACTGAAATGTCACGGCTTCGTGAAAAGGGAACATGACATAGCCATAGTTATAGCACCGGGCACAAAACTCACTCTGTAAATGTTGTGCTGACGTTAACGCAGACGGATAGCCAGTGATACCGCGCTTCGTGATAACCGAAGCCGCCAACCAGCCTCCATCAGCAATGGGCTGGAGAAACATTATTAAATATTCGGAAGTCACTGTCAAATTAATCGTGAAATGCCATTACCAACATCCTCTTGACGTTAATCAATATGAAGAACTATGGAAAACATCAATCTTTCAATGCCTTACCCGTCAAGAAGTGTTTAGAAAACGCTGAAATTCCATATATAAGGGTAGTTTCATTACAGAGAAAATCACTTCTTAGTCGCAGACCATGGCGTAAATCCCAGAATAGCCGAAGTAGTCGGACCAGGGTCTTCTACTGGGCTCGAATTCGAGAACAGTGTCTATAGCCGATGAGCCAGGGTCATAACTCACCATACTGGTCTTGACTACGGAGCACACAGCTTTGCTCCCCCTGGGCTAGAAACGAAATTCCTCGCATAGATATAAACCGTAATAATGATGGAGAATTCGAAATCTTTGACAGCCCTTCTCTTATCCATGGAGTTTTAGAGTGCCTAATCAACATTGAAGCTTCTCCGAAACAACCACTGATCTCAAGCAGTCTACTGCAGCCGATAATTGCATACGCATGTCCAAAAAAGTCATCCCAATCTCAAGCTGAATTTGGCTGCAAACTGGTGCAGTTTCCTGCCCAGGCATATTAATATTTGACAAGTTCATCTAACAATAAGGCTAGACGAGGCCACCTATAAAACTTTAATTCTGGAAAGATTGGAGGTGAAACTCATCGACCGGAATTCGAAATTTATTCGCAAAGAAACTGCTATAACAGGGCATGAATACACCTCAGTT